TGCCTGAAATGTTCTCACAGGCCTTTCAGCCCGGCCAGGAATCCTTAAGGGCTGATTCTGAGATCAGAGTTCCATAAACATTTGTAAACCTTATTGTATACTATATATGCCATGGGCTTCAGAAATTAAACATATTTGATAGTTTTGATCTGGTTTTAAAAAGGGGGCTGAATGAGGCCGGTGCCATGGCTCACTTGGTTAATCCTCCACCTGCGGTGCTGGCATCCCACATAGGCGCTGGGTTCTAGTCCCGGTTGCTCCTCTTCCAGTCCAGCTCTCTGCTGTGGCCTGGGAAGGCAGTGGAGGATGGCCCAGGTGATTGGGCACCTGCACCCACATGGGAGACCAGGAGGAAGCACCTGGCTCCTGGCTTCGGATAGGTGCAGTGCTGGCCGTAGTGGCCATTTGGGGTGTGAACCAATGGAAGGAAGACCTTTCTCTCTGTCTCTCTCTCTCACTGTCTATAACTCTACCTGTCAAATAAGTAAAAAAATTTTAAAAGGGGGGGGGGCGACTGGATTAAGATGGCCAAGTAGAGAGAGAGCTTGTTGCACAAGTCTAGCAGAAGATAGTTTAATAAAAGTGGAAAGAGTGCAGTCTCAAGGAAGAGTTAGAGAGGAAACTCTACACAAATTGGAGGAACACAGTGACCTATGTGGAGGGCAAGATGAGCACAACTTAGACGTGACCAGAAAAGACCTTCACCATGACATGTTGTAATCAAACTCACCACGGTAAAACATAAAAGATATAAAATGTGCACGAAATTCCATATTATTTTCAGAGGATCTCCAATAAGACTTACTATGGACTTCTCATCAGAAACTCGACAGGCTAGGAGAGAATGGTGAGATATATTTAAGTATTAAAAGAAAAAACTGTAAACCCAGAATACTCTACCCTGCAAAAATCTCATTTATGAATGAAGGTGAAATAAAGACCTTCCATAATAAACAGAAACTGAAAGAATTTGTCACCACCCATCCAGCATTGCAGAAGATGCTTAAAGATGTGGTATACACAGAAACACAAAAACACAGTCATCACTATGGAAGAATGTAAAGGACAGAAATCTCCCAGTAAAAGTACAAAGGAAATCCAAAGTAAAAAATAGAAATACTTACGGAAAAATGGCAAGGCAACGTCATTACTTATCAAGAGTCACCTTGAATGGAAATGACCTTAAAACTCCAACTAAAAGACACAGACTGGCTGAATTGATTAAAAAACAAAACCCACCTATTTGCTGCCTACAAGAAACATATCTCACTAACAAAGATGTACACATGCTGAAAGTGAAAGGATGGAAAAAGATATTCTTTACTAACAGAAACCAAAACAGAGCTGGTGTAGCTATCCTATCATCAGACAAAATAGACTTTAACACAAAAACTGTTAAAAGACATAAAGAAGGACACTATGTGTGAGGCGAACGAAAAGACATAAAGAAGGACACTATGTAATGATTAAGGGATCAATTCAATAGGAAGATATAACTATTATAAACCTGTATGCACCTAATTACAGGCACCTGGCTATTTAAAAGAAATGTTGAGGGATATAAAGGGAGATATAGACTCAAATACAATAGTAATGGGGGACTTCAATACTACAGTTTCATCAATGCACAGAGCATCCAGACAGAAAATCAGGAAGGAAACAGCAGAGTTAATCAATACTATAGACCAAATGGACCTAACAGATATCTACAAAACTTTTCATCCTACAGTTGCAAAATACACATTCTTCTCAGCAGTACATGGAACTTTCTCTAGGATTAACCACATACTAGGCCATAAAGCAAGTCTCAGCAAATTCAAAAAAATCAAAAACATACTATGCATCTTCTCTGACCACAATGGAATGACATGCTAATCAACATGACAATCAACAACTCAGGAATCACTAGAATATATGCAAACACATGGATGGAACAACATGCTCCTGAATGAACGGTGGGTCATAGAAGAAACCAAAAGAGAAATCAAAAAATTTGGGGGAATAAATTAAGATGACAACACAACATATCAAAACTTACGGGATACAGCAAAAGCAGTGTTAAGAGGAAAGTTCATACCACTTGTTGCCTACATCAAGAAATTAGAAAGGCACCAAATAAATGAGCTATCAATGCATCTCAAGGATCTAGAAAAACAACAGCAAACCAAACCCAAAACAAGTAGAAGAAAAGAAATAATTAAAATTAGAGAAGAAATCAACAAAATTGAAACAAAAAAATTACAAAAGATCAGCAAAATGAATAGCTGTTTTTTGAAAAATTAAACAAAATTGACACACCATTGGCCTAACTAACCAAAAACGGAAAGAGAAGAACCAAATTAAAAATTAGAGATGAAAAAGGAAATGTAATGACACAACAGAAATAAAAAGAATCAACAGAAATTACTACAAAGAGCTATATGCTAACAAGCTAGGAAACCTAGAAAAAAATGGATAGATTCTTGGACACATACAACCTACCAAAATTGAGCCATGAAGACACAGAAAACCCAAAAAGACCCATTACCAAGACAGAAATTGATTCAGTAATAAAGGTCCTCCCAAAAAGAAAAGCCCAGGACCAGATGGCTTCACTGCTGAATTCTACCAGACAGTTAAAGAAGAACTCCAATACTTCTCAAGTTATTCAAAACAATTGAAAGGGAGGGAATTTTCCCAAATGCTTTCTATAAAGCCAGCATCACCTTAATTCCTAAACCTGAAAAAGATACAACAGATAAAGGGAATTACAGATCAATTTCCGGGATGAACATAGATGCAAATATCCTCAACAAAATTGTAGCCAATCAAATCCAACAACACATCAGAAAGGTCTCTCACTTGGGCCAAAGTGGAATTTATCCCTGGTATGCAGGGATGGTTCAACATTTGCAAATCAATCAATGTGCTTTATCAAATTAACAAACTGAAGAACAAAATCTGTATGATTATCTCAATAGACGCAGAGAAAGCATTTGATAAAATACAACACTCGTTCATGATGAAAACTCTAAGCAAATTGGGTATAGAAAAAACATTCCTCAACACAATCAAGGCAGTTTATGACAAACCCATGGCCAGCATCCTATTGAATAGGGACAAACTGGAAGCATTACCAATGAAATCCAGTACCACACAAGGATGCCCACTCTCACCATTGCTATTCAATATAGTCCCAGAAGTTTTAGCCAGTGCCATTAAGCAAGAAAAAGAAATCAAAGGGATTCAAATTGGTAAAGAGGAAGTCAGATGACATGATTCTATATTAGGGGATCCAAAAGACTTCACTAAGAGAATACTGGAACTCATAGAAGAGTTTGGTAAAGTATCAGGATATCAAATCAACACACAAAAATCAATAGCCTTTGTATACACAGATAATGCCAAGACTGAGAAGGAACGTCTAAGATCAATCCCATTCACAATAGCTATAAAAAAACATCAAATACCCTGGAATAAATTTAACCAAGTATGTCAAAGATCTCTACAATGCAAATTACAAAAAATTAAAGAGAGAAATAGAAAAAGGCACAAAAAAATGGAAAAATCTTCCATGTTCGTGAATTCAAAGAATCAATATCATCAAAATATCCATTCTTCCAAAAGCAACTTACTGATTCAGTGTGATACCAATCAAAATACCAAAGACATTCTTCTGAGATTTAGAAAAAAATGATGCTAAAATTCATATGGAGGCACAGGAGACATCAAATAGCTAAAACAATCTTATACAACAAAAACAAAGCCAGAGGCATCACAATACCAGATTTCAAGACAAATTACAAGGCAGTTATAATAAAAACAGCCTGGTACTGGTACAAAAACAGATAGATAGACAAATGGAACAGAATAAAAATGTCAGAAATCAATCCAAACATCTACAACCAACTTATATTTGAACAAGGAGCTAAAACCAAACCCTGAAACAAGGACAGTCTCTTCAACAAATGGAGTTGGGAAAACTGGATTTCCACATGCAGAAGTATGAAGCAGGGCCCATACCTTACACTTTACACAAAAATCCACTCAACATGGATTAAAGACCTAAATCTATGACCTGTTACCATAAAATTATTAGAGAACATTGGGGAAACCCTGCAAGACATTGGCATAGGCAAAGAGTTCTTGGAAAGGACCCCAGAGGCAGTCAATCAAAACCAAAATTAACAAATGGGATTACATCAAATTGAGATGCTTCTGTACTGCAAAAGAAACACTCAGAAAAGTGAAGAGGCAACAGACAGAATGGGAGAAATTATTTGCAAACAATGCAACTAACAAAGGATTAATAAAATATGGATCATCTAATAAAAAGTCTTTGAATAACTGGCTAGCAAATTTGGGGGAAAAACTAAATCAACTCTCTATATTAATAAAATAAATTACAAGCATATTAACATTTAATTTTTCATAAAATAACCATTCTAAAGGAAAATATAGGCATATTTTAATATAATTAATAGTTCAAAAGTCTTTTTAAATGCATTAAAGGTTACATGTCGAATAATACTTGTTTGAAAAGAAATTCACAAATACATACACATAAGAGGGAAAGGGAGAAATATGTATGCATAATCAATTGGCTGTTCTCAAAAAGTAAGACTGTGAGAGAATGGGAAGTAAGACTAACCAGTAATCAATTTTTAAGACTGAAGTTGTACATGTCTCAGTGATACCTTGTAAGAGAATTCTAGGCAAGTAGGGGATTCTGCATAAAACGGGCATCCAGGGCTATCTAAGAGGGATGGAAAGTGAAGGTAAAAACATACTTAGTCTACTTTCCAATTTTTTCCTTCCCTGTCCCTCTCCCCCTTTGCAGATTCAAATCCTTAAAGACACTGAAACCTACCTAAGTTCAGAGTGGCTCCATACAACCCTACCTAATGAGAACAACTGTTTCCCCTAAGCAAGAGCCAAACATACAAAGAAAAGCTGGCGGGGAGGGGAGGATTGGTTTGGGAATATTCTACAACTGAGATTAAAGATCTCCATCTACTCACCAACAGTTTCTTCAGACGCAGCAGTCAAAGATAAAAACTTTTTTGTATTTTCTATCTCCTCATTACTTTGAAAAGCTTCACCTTTTTGTGCAGACTATTGAAAGGAAAATCAAAGTTTAAACTTGGGAAAAGAAGACAACTTCATTTTTTTTAATTCCAACATGGTTCCCAATCACTGACATGCAACCAAGAATGCTTTGGCCATTTATATTCACCTAACTAGGAAATCAATTCATGTTTCCTGTTTCTATAAAATCTGTCAACAGGTATGACTAGAGATAAGGTACATGTCTATCATTATATGAGAATTACCTTTATTAAAGTGTCTTAAATTTCTCTTTGATTTTTTTTTTTGACAGGTTGAGTGGACAGTGAGAGAGAGAGACAGAGAGAAAGGTCTTCCTTTGCCGTTGGTTCACCCTCCAATGGCCGCCAAGGCCAGCGCACTGCGCTGATCCGATGGCAGGAGCCAGGTTCTTATCCTGGTCTCCTGTGGGGTGCAGGGCCCAAGCACTTGGGCCATCCTCCACTGCACTCCCTGGCCACAGCAGAGAGCTGGCCTGGAAGAGGGGCAACTGGGACAGAATTCAGCGCCCCGACCGGGACTTGAAGCCAGTGTGCCGGCGCTGCAAGGCGTTGGATTAGCCTAGTGAGCCACAGCGACAGCCCTCTTTGATGTTTTATAATTAGTGAGCAACTTAAAGGTACACTATCTAATCAAGATTTGAGATTTTTTTGTTGTTGTTGCTGTATTTTACTATGTTTCCAAATAACTTTTTTTAAAAAAGACTTTTTATTTATTTGAAAGTCAAAGATACAGAAACAGGAAAAGACAGAGAGAGAGGTCATCCAACCATGGGTTCACTCCCCAAGTGCTACAACAGCCACAGCAGAGCCAGAAGTTGTTCCAGGTCTCCCTCATGGATGCCAGGGCCCCAAACACTTGGGCCATCTTATGATACTGTTCCCAAGCCATTAGCAGGGAGCTGGATTGGAAGTGGAGCACTTGGGACCCAAACCAGCACCCATATGGGATGCCAGCATTGCAGCAGGCCACTTTACCCACTATGCCACAATGCTAGCACCTCCAAATAATTCTTGTTTCAAGGGAAATAAAAACTTTCCTTGAAGTTCAATAGGAAAAAGTGACATACTAAAAAATGACATATGCTAAAATTTACAAAAATTATTTCACTAGTTTAAAGTACTTAATTTTGGATATTGCTTTCTTTCCATCCCAATGGTCTTCCTGGGAACCTTGTAAAAATATATTCTTAATTACTTCACCCATAATTCATGTTACTGCCTTGGAAATTTCCTCTGAAGTCAGTTAACTGAACAAGGAGGACTTTTATCAAAAACAACCAAAGTGTTATTGCAAGGTTCTTTACCTTAAAAGTGCTCTCCTTTGAGAAGCAAAAGTCAAATATGAGCCAATAGCTACAAATCAAGTAACTGCCCAGGTCTAGTCAATTTAAACCCCTCATACTATAGAAAATAAGAGGTCCAAGAAGGCCAAGGACAGTTAATTGAGCATGAGAAACATTCTGAGACAGAAACAAATAGAACATGGTTTCAACCTCAAGCCCTTTACAGCTTCCTGAAGAGATTTTAACCAGCACACGACAAACTCCTCAACTTGTTTGTCACAAAGATTCACTAACCAGAGTGTTACATTTTTGTGTACCTCTCTATTTATCTCCCAACTGTAAGCTCACTGAAGAAAAAGCAGACCTACATAGCTGATGAAAGCTGTGACCACACCCTTTCCTACTCCAGAGATGAAGAAGCCTCAGGCTGACAATGATAAGAGAGATCAACTGAGCCTGTCCACAAGAGAATGCCCAGAGTTGGGAACGCTTCAGGGTTAAGTCATCATCTTCAGTTTCAGAAAATATCACTGCTGCTACACACACACACACACACACACACACACACAAACACACCCCTCTGCCACTTCAGCCACAGAAATAAGTCAATAAAGGCAAACTATACTCCACATTCTTCATACTCATCTAGAGAAAAGTGTTTCTTACATGTCAGCATATGGCCATATAATTCTCACCTTAAGGTCTTCCCACAACTTTATTCTCATTTCTAGACCTTGCTTCTTAACTTCTTTTTCTCTACATCGCTTCTTTGCCAATATTTTATCAAGTCGCTTCATCTTACAAATAGCATCTTGAAGTTGAGAATCTTCTTCTAATTTGGGTTTATCTGTATAGAACATAGGAATGGGCTTGAAGTTCAGTAAAGTCATAAAATTTTATTTTGTTTTTATTATTCTTTCATTAAACAAATATGATTGGATGATGGTAATAATTACAGAGGTGTCATGTACCTATATTTACAAGGTGTTTTCATAGGCTTCAAATAATTATCTCATGACCCCAAGAAATAAATATTTAAGTCTGTTTTATAGGTGAGATAACTGAGTCCATTCACATAGCTAATAAATTGTACCATTGGGGTGCTGGGAAAATTGGATTTTCACGTGCAGAATCATGAAGCAAGACCCCTACCTTTCACCTTACACAAAAATCCACTCAACATGGATTAAAGACTTAAATCTACACTTTTCAGTTAAGTTTCAGCACTTAAGAATAACTGTGTATTGATTACAGTATTCAACCAAAAGTATTAAGTAGAACAAACAAACAAACAAAATACTAAGAGGGATAACGTATTAAGTTGTTCATCAACAGTCAGGGCAAGGGCTGATCAAGTCACCGTTTCTCATAGTGTTCATTTCGCTTCAACAGGCTTCCTTTTTGGTGCTCAGTTAGTTGTCACCGATCAGGGAGAACATATGATATTTGTCCCTTTGGGACTGGCTTATTTCACTCAGCATAATGTTTTCCAAATTCTTAACAGGGATCACTTTTCAGTTAAAATTTAAACACCTAAGAATAATTGTGTGTTAAGTACAGAGTTCAACCAATAGTACTAGAACAAAAAAAAATACTAAAATGGATAAAGTATTACATTGTACATCAACTGTCAGGACAAGAGCTGATCAAGTCACTGTTTCTCATAGTGTCCATTTCACTTCAATAGGTTTCTTCTTTGGTGCTCAGTTAGTTATCACCAATCAGGGAGAACATATGATATTTGTCCCTTTGGGACTGGCTTAATTCACTCAGCATGATGTTTTCCAAATTCCTCTATCTTGTTGCAAATGACTGGGTTTCATTGTTTTTGACTGCTATATAGTATTTTATAAACTATACATTTTCATGACAAATATTATTTTTTATTCTTAAAGCAATTAAGATAACATCACTTTAAGTTTTAATTTTTTCCATGTGATTTTAATTGAATTTTTGAATATTTTTACTGTTTCATTTATATAAAGAGAACAAATTTCTTCCCACCCTACTCTCCCTCTAGTCCTCACTCTCACCCTTCCTTCTCCTTCCTCTTTTAATTTTTATAATGACATACTTTTAATTTACTTTACAAGTAAATTAAATTACTTGTAATGAACTTTACAAGTTCAACCCTCCCTAAATAAAGAATTCAGCAAGCAATAAGTAGAAAAGCCACTGATCCTCAAGAGTAGAGATAAGAACTATAGATAATGAAATCTTAAAATGTCAATTTTGCTCATATATATTATGTTTTATTTGTATTCTATATATTAGTTATCACAAATCAGGAAAAACATATGATATTTTTCTTTTTGGGACTGGCTTATTTCACTAAGCATAATGATCTCCATTTGCATCCATTTTGTTGCAAAAGACAGGATTTCATTCTTTTTATGGCTGAGTAGTATTCCATCATTCCAATTGTGCTACTTATACCACAGTTTCTGTATCCAGTCATCAGTTGATGTACATCTGAAGTGATTCCATATTTTAGTTATTGTGAATTGAGCTGCTATAAACATAAGGGTACAGATAACGCTTTCATTTGCTGATTTAATTTTCTCTGGGTAAATTCTCAGGAGTGGAATGGCTGGGTCATATGGTAGATCTATTTACAGATTTTTGAGAAATCTCCATACTGTCTTTAATAATGGCTGTACTAGTTTACATTCCAAACAACAGTGAATTAAGGTACCTTTTCATTATACTGTCACCAGATTTTTTATTTTTTGATTTTTAGATGATAGTCATTCTAATTGGGATGAGGTGAAAGCTTATTGTGGTTTTTATTTGCATTTCCCTGATAGCTAATGATCCTGAGCATCATTTCATGTGTCTGTTGGCCTTTTGTATTTCATTCTTTGAAAAATGCCTGCTCATATCCTTAGTCCATTTCTTAACTAGATTGCTTGTTTTGTTGTTGTTGAGTTTCTTGAGCTTCTTATATATCCTGGATATTAATCCTTTGTTAGATGTATTGCTTGCAAATATTTTCTCCCATTCTGTTGGTTTCCTCTTTATGAGTGTTTCTTTTGCTGTGAAGAAGTCTGTTAGCTTGATGTAATCCCATTTGTCTATTTTTGCCTTTATTGCCTGTGCTGCTGGGGTCGTATCCAAGATGCCTTTGCCTATGACAATGTCTTGCAGCATTTCCCCTATGTTTTTGTCTAGTAATTTGATGGTTTCAGGTCTTATGCTTAGATCCTGGATTCATTGTGTTTCGATTTTTGTATGAGGAGTAAGCTAGGGGTCTTGTATCATACTTCTGCATGCGTAGATCCAATTTTCCCAACACCATTTATTGAAGAGATTGTCCTTTCTCCAGGGAGTGATTTTAGCTCATCTGTCAAAGACTAGTTAGCTGTAGATGCATGGATTAATTTCTGGGGTCTCTAGTATGTTCCATTGGTCAATATGTCTATTCTTGTGCCAGTACCGGGCTGTTTTGATTATAACTGCCTTGTGAGATGTCTTGAAATCTGGTATTGTAATGCTTCTAGCTTTTTCATTGTTTAGGATTGATCTAGCTATTCAGGGTCTTTTGTGATTTCATATGAATTTTAGGGTCTTTTTTTGAGATCTGAGAATAACATCTTTGGTTTTTGATTGGGATTGCACTGAATCTGTAAATTGCTTTGGGCATTACGGACATTTTGATGGTATTTGTTCTTCTAATCCACCAACATGAAAGATTTTTTTCAATTTTTTTTTGTCTTCTTCTATTTCTTTAATGTTTTAAGATTTTCATTGTCCAGATATTTCATACCTTTTGTTAAATTTATCCCAAGGTATTTCAATTTTTTGTGGCTATTATGAATGGGATTGATTTTTTAAAAGATTTATTTATTTATTTGAAAGTCAGAGTTACACAGAGGAGAAGCAGAGAGAGAGAGAGGTCTTCCATCCACTGGTTCACTCCCCAATTAGCTTCAATGGCCAGAGCTGCACCAATCTGAAACCAGGAGCCAGGAGTTTCTTCTCGGTCTCCCACACAGGTACAGGGGCCCAAGGACTTGGGTCATCTTCTACTGCTTTTCCAGGCCATAGCAGAGAGCTGGATTGGAAGTGGAGCAGCCGGGTCTCAAACCGGCACCCATATGGGATGCCTGCACTGCAGGCGGCGGCTTTACCCACTAAGCCACAGCCGGCCCCTGGGATTGATCTTACAAGTTCTTTCTTGATCATGGCATTGTTTGCACATACAAACACTATTGATTTTTGTGTAATGATTTTATAACCTGCAACTCTGCCAAACTCCTTTATGAGCTCCAACAATCTCTTAGTGGAGTCCTTTGGTTCCCCTATGTATAGGATCATATCATCTGCAAACAGGGATAATTCGACTTCCTCCTTTCCCATTTGTATCCTTCGATTTTTTTTTCTTGTCTAATGACTCTGCTAAAACTTCCAGAACTATATTGAATAGTAATGGTGAGAGTGTAGTCCGCATCTGTTTCAGATCTCAGTGGAAATGATTCCAATTCTTCCCCATTCAATAAGATGCTGGCTCTGAGTTTGTCATAAATTGCCTTGACTGTGCTGAGGTATGCTCATTCTATACCCAATTTGCTTAAGGTTTTTATCATGAAAGGACATGGTATTTTTTTTTAAGATTTATTTTATTTATTTGAAAGACAGAGTTACAGAGAGAGGTAGAGACAGAGAGGTCTTCCATCCACTGGTTCACTCCCCAGATGGCTGCAATGGCTGGAGCTGCGCCAATCCAAAGCCAGGAGCCAGGAGCTTCTTCCGGGTCTCCCACCTGGGTGAAGGGGCCCAAGGACTTTGGCCATCTTCTACTGCTTTTCCAGGCCACAGCAGAGAGCTGAATTGGAAGAGGAGCAGCCGAGACTAGAACCGGCACCCATATGGGATGCTGGTGCTTCAGGCCACGGCCCTAACCCACTATGCCACAGCGCCGGCCCCAGGACATGGTATTTTATCAACTGCTTTCTCTGTATCATCTGAGATAATAATATGGTTTTAATTATTCAATTTGTTAATGTGATGTATATTTATTGATTTGTATATGTTGAACCATCCTTGCATACTAGGGATAAATCCCACTTTGGCCCATGTGAGTGACCATTCTGATGTCCTGTTGGATTTGATTACCAGTATTTTTTTGAGGATTTTTGCATATATGTTCATCAGGGATACTGGTCTATTGTTCTCTTCCTTTTTCTGGTTTTGGAATTAAGGTGATACTGTCCTCACAGAAGGAGTTTGGGAGGGTTCCTTCCCTTTCAGTTGTGTGGAATAGTTTGAGACAAATTGGAATTAGTTCTTCAAGAGTTTGGTAGAAGTGAAGCCATCCATTCCTGGGTTTTTCTTTGTTGGCAGGGTCTTTATTACTGATTAAATCTTCATCTTCATTAATGTTTTATTTAGATATTCTGTGTCTTCATGACTTAATTTTGGTAGATTGTATGTGTCCAGAAAGCTATCCATTTTTCTAGATTTTCCAATTTGTTGACATATAGTACTCTATAGCAATTCCTGATGATTCTTTTTATTTCTGTGGTTATTTCTGTGGTTATCTTTTTCGGCTCTGATTTTATTAATGTGGATCTTTCTCTTTTTTTATTTTGGTTAGTTTTGCCAATGATGTATCAATTTTATTTTTTCAAAAAACAGCTCTTCATTTCATTAATCTTTTGTATGTTTTGTTTCAATTTTGTTTATTTCTTTATTTCTTTCCTCCCTTTAATTTTGGGTTGGTTTATGATTTAAGTTTTTAATATCTGGATTAATAGAAGACAACCAGACCCTCATAACTGTTACCACAGTCAATCTATCATAATTTAGTATTTCAGTAGAAGCAAATAAAGACAATCTGGCCTCATAAAGATATATATTTGGAAAAGAGAGAAAAAATTTAATAGCCTACTTGGATAACTGAATATTCATCTTCAATAATACACCAAATTCTATAAGGCTACTTTCTTAAAGAATAGTTGTAATATACATACAGAAATCTACCAACAACAGATGCTGGAGAGGATGTGGGGAAAAAGGGACACTAACCCACTGTTGGTGGGAATGCAAACTGGTCAAGCCACTATGGAAGTCAGTCTGGAGATTCCTCAGAAACCTGAATATAACCCTACCGTTTGACCCAGCCATCCCACTCCTTGGAATTTACCCAAAGGAGTTTAAATTGACAAACAAAAAAGCGGTCTGCACCCTAATGTTTATTGCAGCACAATTCACAATAGCCAAGACCTGGAACCAACCTAAATGCCCATCAATGGTAGACTGGATAAAGAAATTATGGGATATGTATTCTTTAGAATACTATACTGCAGTAAGAAACAACGAAATCCAGTCATTTGCAACAAAATGGAGGAATCTGGAACACATCATGCTGAGTGAAGTAAGCCAGTCCCAAAGGGACAAATACCATATGTTCTCCCTGATCGGTGACAACTGACTGAACACCAAAAAGGAAACCTCCTGAAGGGAAATGGACACTATGAGAAATGGTGACTTGATCAGCATAGCCCTGACTGTTAATGAACAACTTAATACGTTATCCCTCTTAGTATTTTTTTTTTGTCTGTTCTACTTAATATGACTGGTTTAATTCTGTAATTATCACACAGTTATTCTTAAGTGTTGAAAATTAACTGAAATGTGATCCCTGTTAAACATAAGAATGGGAATAAGAGAGGGAAGAGATATATAATTTGGGACATGCTCAAGCTGACTTGCCCCAATTGGTAGAGTTAGAAACATACCAGGGGATTCCAATTCAATCCCACCAAGGTGGCATGTACCAATGCCATCTCACTATTCCAAGTGATCAATTTCAGTTCACAATTGATCATAATGAAAGGACTAAGAGTCAAAGGGAGCACATAAACAAGTCTAGTACCTGCTAACACCAACCGATAAAATAAATAAAGGGGAGAGTGATCCAACATGGGAAGCGAGATACTCAGCAGACTCATAGAATGGCAGATGTCCTAAATAGCACTCTGGCCTCAGAATCAGCCCTAAAGGCACTCGGATCTGGCTGAAAAGCCCATGAGAGTATTTCAGGCATGGAAAGCCAAGACACTCTGGCAAAAAGATCTCTGTGAGTGAGATCCCAGTGGAAAGAATGGGTCATCAAAGAAGGAGGTACCTTTCTCTGAAGGGAGGAGAGAACCTACACTTTGACTATGACCTTGTCTAAACAAGATAAGAGTCGGAGAACTCAAGGGGCTTCCATAGCCTTGGAAACTCATGACTGGTGCATAGGGAGATTACTGATGCCATAAACAGGAGTGTCAGTTTGTAAAGTCAACAACAGGAGTCACGGTGCACTTACTCCTCATGTAGGATCTCTGTCCTTAATGTGCTGTACATTGAGGCTTAATGCTATAACGAGTACTCAAACAGTATATTTCACTTTGTGTTTCTATGGGGGTTGAAATCTTTACTTAATGTATACTAAACTGATCTTCTGTAAAAAAAAAAAAAAAGAAAAGAAAAAAGAAAAAAAAGAAATTATCAATTCCCAACTTGACTCTCACTGGGATTAAACATGACAATAGGTCTGATCTGATTTCATCATCATTTAAAAAAATCATCTATTATTTTTCACTTTATGTTTCTGTGTGGGAGCAAACTGTTGAAATCCTTACTTAATGTATACTAAGCTGATCTTCTGTATATTAAGATAATCGAAAATGAATCTTGATGTGAATGGAAGGGGAGAGGGAGTGGGAAAGGGGAGGGTTGTGGGTGGGAGGTACGGTATGGGGGGGAAGCCATTGTAATCCATAAGTCATACTTTGGAAATTTATATTCATTAAATAAAAGATAAAAAAAAGAATAGTTGTAATATGAAATTTGTAATCTCATTAGTGAGTTTTCTGTGTTTGTTCTATTAAAATCCATGGCTCTATCTTCCATGTTGAATGGATCTTTTGCCCTCCATTGGTCACCTGGCTCCTGGTTCACTGAATTATGCAGACATATAAAATGTTAACATATTTCATAACACAACATTAAAAATAACATTTATTAATACTGTAGTTGATTTGTATCAGGAAAGTTTAAGTATTAGGAAGTTTACAAGCTCATAGTGACATATACCAGCTTCCAAAATTCTAATTATCACTCAAAAGCTCAAATATTATCATTGGTAAAAGAAAAAAAAATACTGCATGTAGTTTTCCCTGAAGTAATAGGCTCACTTTATTGTTTCTTTTAAGCCTGCCCAATATCCCAGATAGTTATTCTGTCAATTGCTCTTTCCAATAAAAGTAATACTCTATTTAAAAAGTGGCCAGTTCTGGGGCTAGCATTGTGACATGGTAGGTAAAACCTCCACCTGCAACACTGGTAAGCCATTTGGGCATCAGATCAAGTCCTGACTGCTCTGTGTCCTATCCAGCTCCCTCCTAATGAATCTGGGAAAACACCATAAGATGGTCCAAGTGTTGGTCCCCTACTACCCACGTGGGAAACCCAAATGGTTCCTGGCTTCGGCCTGGAACTATCATGGCCCTAACTATCATGGCCATTGGGCAGTGAATCAGCAAATCGAAGATTTCTCTCTGTCTCTCTCTCTCTCTCTCTCTCTCTGCCTTTCAAATAAATAAAATAAATCTTGGGGGGGGCAGTTCAGCTGTCAGCTCAAACTGTCACACAAGTACTTGTCCTCTACACTTAGGTGTACAACACAGTTGTTTTATGTGTACTTCCGATTGTGCCCCATGGGATATAAAGAAGATAAATACTCAAGAGTCAAGATTTAATAATATCAATATTTTTTACTGCTTCAGAGAGGACATCCTTGAGTGACAGTGGCTGTTTCTTTTTCCTGCCACCACCTGGTCACAAAGAATACAATGATACCAGTAAAATGGTTTGTCACTGACTCATGCTAAGGCACCAGTAATTCTGCCCACCATTACTATAATCCCACCAATGCAATGTCAACACTGTGGACAAAGAGGCAAACAGCATCTCAGTGTTATCATGAAAACAGTTTTTCAGCACTCTGGCCTGAAATCAGCCCTTAAGGCATTCAGATCTGGCTGAAGAGTCCATGAGAGTATTTCAGGCATGAAAAGCCAAGATACTGTGGCAAAATAATGACCTACATGAAAGATCTCAGTGAGTGAGATCCCAGCAAAAAGAATGGGCCATCAAAGAAGGAGGTACCTTTCCTTGAAAGGAGGAGAGAACTTCCACTTTGATTATGGCCTTGTCTAAATAAGGTCACAGTTTGTGAACTCAAGAGGCTTCCATAGACTTGGCAGCTCATGACAAGAGCCTCGGGTGATTACTGACATCATAAATAAGAGTGTCAATTGTTATATCAACAACAGGAGCCACTGTGCACTTGCTCCCCATGTGGGACCTCTGTCCTTAATGAGTTGTACTATGAGAATTAATGGTCAAACTAGTCTTCAAACAGTACTTTATACTTTGTGGTTTGTGTGGGTGCAAACTGTTGAAATCTTTACTCAGTATAGAGTTGATCTTCTGTATATAAAGATAATTGAAAATGAATCTTAATGAAGAATGGGATCAGAGAGGGAGTAGGAGATGGGATGGTTTGTGGGTAGGAGGGGTATTATAGGGGGGAAAACCGCTATAATCCAAAAGTTGTACTTTTGAAATTTATATTTATTAAAGTTTTCTATTAAAAAAAAAGTTTTGAAGACCACTGCTCTAATTCACTTTGGCCAGAAAAAAAAAAGTAGTGTTTCAAAATCTAAGCTTTATTGAGTAGGACTGTCCCTATAAAGACTTTTTAAAATTCCACAGAAACATTTTAACACATTTTTGTCACAAAAAATCAATAAATCATGATACTGAATGTGGAAATATTCCCTATTTGACTAATGCAAAATTACCACAATAATAATTTTATGGAACTGTATATTTTATTATATTTCTAAGTACATTTAATCACTCTATATTCTTACACATAAAAATTAATAGCCGCTTGCTCACAAAAAATAGTATCCTTGGTGGGGGCTAATTATTTCTACTCAGCTGACAAAAACACATGTAGTTCTATTTTAAATATAACATTTGTAAATTATTATCAGCCAATAACCTAACGATTTTCCTACCTGAACATTCAGGTATTATCTGACATTGAACCAAGTCCAAATCTTCATCTGACCCTTCTTTGGCTAATTTTGTTTTCTCAGAGAAGTGTTCTCCGTTATCATCATTAATATTTCCTCTTTCTTCTGTATCCATGCTTTCTGGCTGGTCTTCCTTACCAGAATTCAACTTGATTGCAGTATCAATCTAAAAATAATTTTAAAAGGCATGTTCCAGAAAAGACTATATTTTTAAATGATACATTTCTAGAATATTTTAGCATTAGTGAAAGCATATGTGGGGACATACAGAAATATATGCACTAGCATTAAAGTACTCAGGAGGGGTGGGCATTTGGTACAATAGATAAGAAACCACTTGGGACACCTGCATCCTATATTGGCGTACCTGGATTTGAGTGCTAGCTCCACCCAATTCCAACTTCCTGATAATGCATGCCCTGGGAAGCAACAGGTGATGGCTCAAGGAGTTGGGTCCCTGCCATCCTTGTAGAAGACCTGGATTGAGTTCCCAGGTCGCAAGCATTTGGGGAATGAAACACCAGATGGGAGGAGTGTGTGTGTGTATATCTGCCTCTCAAATGAAATTTTTTAAAAATTTTTTAAAGATTTATTTATTTATTTGAAAGGCAGAGTTACAGAGAGATGGAGAGACAGAGAGAGAAAGAGAGATTTTCCATCTGGGGTTCACTTCACAATGACTGTAACACCCAGGGCTGGGCCAGGCCAAACCTAGGAACCTGGAACTCCACCCAGGTCTCCCACGTGGATGGCAGGGTTCCAAGTGCCTGGACCATGTTCTGCTGCTTTTCCAGGCACATCAGCAGGGAGCTGGATTGTTAAGTGGAGCAGCTGGGACTTGAACCTGTGCTCATATGGATACCAGCATTGCAGATGGCAGTTTAACGCAATGCACCACAATGCTGATCCCAAAATAGAATTTTTTTCAAAAAGGTACTCTAGAAATAACACTTTTTTAAAAAAATAACTTTAATTCAATATAATTTAACCTACACACAACTATAATTAACAACATTTACACCAGAGAAATAAGCACCGTTCTCCAGCAATCTCTAGTAATATTGGAACAGGGTCAAAATCAGTCCCAAATGAGACATGGGCTGAGCTCCTTGAATGCACTCAGATGGACAGCCGAAGGTCTAGGCATGTGCTGTCCAATAAAATAGCTACTTGTCACATGTGGTCACTGAGCGGCTGAAAAGAGGCTAAATTCAGATGTGCTACTGAGTCTTCTGATCACAATCATGAGCTTTGGTTATTTATTTTTATATTATTCACAGGTTTCTATTTCATTCTAGATTCCTTTTACATTTTGACACAGTTCATTTGGAAAATACAGTTGTGCTTCCATAAGAAAGAATAAGAAAGGATATCTATGGTTGAGTCAGGGAAAAAAAGAATCATGGGGTCCTGACTATGTGTATAGCAGAAGTGAACATAGGCCAAGGGAGAGGCAAGATCTCAGAAAGCCAGTGTCAGCCACTTTCCAAAGAGGACCTTCTCCCAACAGACTGTCTGCTCCAGTGGTCTTGGTCCTTGGAAGGTTCCATGCCCTCTGTACACCAACATACTCAACACTCCACTACTACAATGGCATTCCCTTTGCAGGTCTCTAGGACAGAAGATGGGTGGTGCTGAGAATTTAACTGACAGAAATGCAGTTCACTAAATGAGCATCTCTTTGCCTGAACAAAAATATAAATGCAGAGGAACTGCACTGAGTCTACAGTATTGTAATCATATCCACCATTTATTAAAGAATTGCTATCAGCCATGTCCTATGCTAAGCAATTTCCACACACTGCCTCATTCACTCCTCTCAATGACCCTGTGGTATAGGTGTTCCCACGCCAGTGTAACAGAGGGGAAAACAGATCCAGTAGAGAATTAACCCAGTAAAGGCCCAGTTGGTAAAAAGCCTGCTTTATATATTCTTGGAGTTGTTAAAAAGGATTCTGTGTTCAAAAACACAATTGTATCAAAGGGCTGAAAGGGTTCTACAATATCCAGTTAGCCCTTTAGGCTATATAGTTCTGCAAAAAATGCTAACACTTCTAGAAAAAGTTCTATCACTCACTTACGTCTTGAACAAGTGTTGTGTTCCAGATGAGGGAACTGACAATATACAAATGATAACTAGATGGTATAACATACTTGGATAGCGTATTTCAGGGTACACAAAGACATTTCACTCCTATCATCCCATAAAATCCAAATTCAGAAGGAGCAGAAAGCAATGGAACAAAGATGGAACTGGAGAACTACAGCCAGAGTTCACAGTTTATCCATAATTCCCCACTCACTAGAAAACAACCATCTTCCCCATCCCATTGGCCCCTAGCCTATCTGTCCACAGCCCTTCTGTTCTACTCTGTGGTCTATATGCATAATTTTTCTTTCTTCTACCTTCTCAATACCATATTCCACCTCCAGTTTTCATTGCTCTGTGCCCTTCACTCCATACCTGCATCTTAATCCCAGTAAAGTTAAATATCCCATGAAAACCCTTCCCAACAATTAGATTCTCTACTTGAAATCCATAGGATGTTTTTCAAGATTTATTTATTTGAAGGGTAGAGTTACAGAGAGGGAGAGGGGGAGGGAGACAGGGAAGGAAAGGATAAGGGAGAGGCAGAGAGAGACGGGGGGGTGGGGAGGAGATCTTCCATCTGCAGGTTCACCCCCTAAATGGCTGCAACAGTCATGGCTGGGCCAGGCTGAAGTCAGGAGCCAGGAGCTTTGTCCAGGTCTCCCACATGGGTTCAGGGACGCAAGTACTTGGACTATCTTCTGCTGCTTTCCCAGGCAGGGAGCTGGATAGGAAGTGGAGCAGCCAGGACTTGAGCCACCTGCCATATGGGATATCAGCACTGCAGGGAATGGCTTTACCCACTATGTCACAGTGCCAGCCCCAACCCGTAGGATTTTTATGTGAAATACAATGATTGGCTGTTTTTGAGGGAAATATTCATAAGCAACAATAAACCAAAAGTTTTATAATGAAACATATTACTACAGAAATTCGATTAAAACCCCAGTATTTTAAAGTCATTTTCTACTCTGTATAAATCTATGGTAGTAATACACTAAATGACATATTTGAACATAAAATGAACCAAAATACCAGATTATTCCAAAAATATGTAAGGTTTTACAGACAATGAAATGTTCACCATCAGTAGTAAATATATAGCATATTTATAGGTTCTTCCCCCATATGACGTAAGCCTTACTAATTTCCTGAGTCTGATTAACACAAACCACAGCTTTTAGAAAATTTTGTTTTCAATATAACCATCAAAGTGCATGTTGGCTAATAAATATGCTAAGTCTAACCTGGAGCTCTGTGGCTTCAAGTAAAATCTGACTTGAAGTGATCAGTATCTGACTTGAAGTGATTAATATATTTATTTTAAATAAGTCTGGAATGAAGTAATATTAATCTATGCATTAAAGCATGTAAATGAAAACATCATAAAGTTGCTTCTTTTAAAAAAATCATCACCCAAAAATCAGTAAACAAAAGAACTATCTGCACCTCCATGTTTATCACAGCTCAATTCACAATAGCTAAGACATGGAAGCAACCTAAATGTCCATTAACCGAAGACTGCATAAATTGTGGGATATGTACACTATGGAATACTACACAGCAGTAAAAAAGGATGAAATCTGGTCCTTTGCAACAAAATGGAGCAAGCTGGAAAACCTCATACTTAGTGAAACAACCCAGTCCCAAAAAGACAAGCACCATATGTTCTCCCTGATTTGGGAGAATTGTAGTGCAACTAAAATGAAAGCTATAGAAGCGAAATAATCACTTTTAGAACTAATGTCTTTAAGAATCCTTGACCTGATTGTCGAGGGACAGTTAACCATTGTTACTTTTTACTGTGTATATCCTTTTTGTTTTGTTTTGTCGTTTTTTTCTCTGTTTTCTTTCTCTCTCTTATCTCTCTACTTCACACTATATGCTGAACTCTCTATGTAACACAGAGTTAATTATAAGTATTTTAAAGCAATTGGGAAAAGATTCCAGTTAAAAACAAGGGAGGAAATAAGAGATGGAGGAGGTAGTCTAAAACTGTAAAACAGTATAGTTCTGCATACAGGCATATAGACTTACCTGTCAGGGTACAGCCTAAGAACTAATCATGGGGCTCCAAATCCTAGGAATCAGTGGTATAAACACCATCTTCACTGTTACAATAATCATATTAAATGTTAAAGGCAACAGATAGACTGGTCTAAATTCAAAAGGGATGACATAAATATCATCAAGTACTTGGTAAAAATAATAGAATTAAAAAAGGAAGGAAGGACCAACATGGGAAGCAGTCCACACAGCAGACTCCTAGAATGACTTTCATAGTAAATAACACTCTGACCTCAGAATCAACCCATAAGGCTTCCTGGTCGTGCTGAAAGGCCTGCGAGAGCATTTCAGGCATGGAGAGATAAGACTGTGGGAAAAAAAAATCCTACACAGAGGATCTCTGTGATACCTCAGAGGAAAGGAGGGGTTATCAAAGAAGGAGACGCTCTTCTCTGAAGGGAAAAGAGAACATCCTCTTTGCTCATGGCCGTGCCAAATACTGACTAAGTCTATGGTCACCAAAGGCCTCCATAGCCCTGGCAGCTCACAATAAGAGCCTCAGATGATCACTGACGTCATAAAAAAAAGAGTGTTAATTGTTAAAGGAACAACAGTAGTCACTGTGCACTTGCTCCCCAGCTAGGACTCTGTCCCTATTGAATTGCAATATGAGATTGACTGCAAATTCTCTCCCCAAACTGTACTTTTTATGATGTGTGTGTGTAGGTGCAAATTGCTGAAATCTATGATTAGCATAGAGTTGGTCCTCTGTATATGAAGTCATACTAAAAATGATCCATAACGAAGAAGGAGATGGGAGAGGGAATGGGAGGTGGGAAGGGAGCAGGGTGGGGCATGGGGGAAAGAACCACTGTGTTCCTAAATAAAAAAAATATATATATATATATATAATGGCTGAAACTAAAACTCAATTTATGACTATAAGAGAATATAAAAAAGAAATATACAAGCAGGAATACTTATTCTGTGCTATTCTAAAATGTATTGGTGGGGGGCCAGCACTGTAGAGTTAATGATGCCACCACCTGTGGAGCTGGCATCCCATATGG